ATCTGGACTCTAACTTGCCTTATATAGCTGAATTTATTGCTACTACTAACTCTGTGAATTGATATAACGGTCTTAGCCCTGCGTAAAATACGTTGTACGGATCCTCACCCAGCCAACCATTGACCTGATCCCCATGTAGCACTATAGAGTTCTAGATACATCTGGTCGACATCAATCATTATGCTCGTCTCTATAAGGGAGTTACATAAGAAATTATAAAGAAATTGAGCAAAGTAATGCGTCTTATAATTTATGGCCCTGATAATAAAGAAGAGCTAAGGATTCATAATTGAGATTGATGATGGTTCGGATCTCTTCCGGAGCGTTTCCTCCTGAGTCGCAAAGAAGCTGCATTGCTTGAGGAAGCGCCTGACCGTTCGTTCATAGCATAATTGTCAAAGTGTGAATGACAAGTGCTGTACGTACTAGCACTTCCCGAATGGGTTTCCAACATTTAACTTACCCATCTTTATAATAGAAGTATTTAGTCCTTCGAGGGACTAGATTTTACCATGCATCCTCTTCAAATGAGCTTGTGATGATCCATAGCCTGGTGATGTTCCCAACTCCTTCACTCCCAAAAATTACCCCCCTTCCAAATTCGGAAGATAAGTTGATTCTATTATTAGTGAATTGAGATCATTACTACGATAAGGAGGCGGATCGCGAAGGTATCTTAGCTCACTGGAGGGACCCCGGGACGGGGATACGATGGCGTTTGACAGAGGGAGCTGAGAGTCTAGACCCAGACCTTTTAGAGTGGTTACGAAGAGTCTCTTAAGACACTCCTCTGATTGGGGTCTGAGTTTTCTCTACCTGGGAGAGTATGTGAGACATCATAGCGTATCGAATAGTTTTATCGCAGGCGACCGTCAGATCGACGGCCCGATTCAGGCTTCTATTCTAGATGTTCTTTTGTTTTTATTTTATTTGTCTTGTTTTATGTTTTCCCATTTTACCTATGGGGAGTTATGTCTTATTGGTGCACATCGGTGCATTGGTACTTTTTATTCTTTTTGTTTTGAGCTATTATATGGATGGTCTTCATGTTGTATTACTTGATATGAATAAAACCTTATTTTGTCTTTTTGTCTTCTTGCATTGAGAGCTTGAAGAGAGAGGAGAGCTCCAAGGTGAGCAATCGGCAGCCACAATCGTTGGATGAGTCCTTCGATTTCGTGGTTAGACTTTCTTCTTTTCAATCCGTTTTCTAACACATCTCCTTCCCCTCGTCCACAAGAAATCCCCTTCTCCCCACATTGCGCCTCCTCTGTGAAGGAAACAGCCGCCTAACCACATCCATTTTCCGGCGGGAACCTATGCGATGCATCCTGTCATCACACCGACCCTCCCATCCTACATAGGTTTTTCAAGTTGAAATTTGAATTTTACAAATCTTGAATTCTTTCCTAATTTGGAAATCCAATTTAGGAAGATTTTCTATGAGAGATTTATTTCATTTGAATTTAGAGTGGGAGTTATGATTCATCAAGTCGCCATGTCATACCCAATTTGGATGCCCCTTAGTTGCTTTCTCACAAATTTATCCCTTGAGTATGTCGATCCGGCCTTCGACCTAGAGGGATCCACAATTGTGGCCCCATTCCATGGCATTGATCGTACCTCATTTGATTCAACATTCCTCGTAATTTTCCCTTCTTAATTGCTTATTAAACACCTGAGATAATTTCAGGTTTTTCGTTTTTATCCCTCCATCCCTCTCTCTCTCACCGCCTCCCGCCCCTTCAATTGGGTTTCCATGTGTGTTTTTAATTCCTAGTCCAAGCCTATGCATTTGAAATCAAATTTCAGATCCTAGAATAATTCCCTCCATACACTCAATTTAATTCTGGAAATTTTATTTATTATTCTGGAGGATTATTAACTAGACTTAGGAACTTTCCAAACCACATATTCTCTCCTCTTGGAAACTGCCGCCCTCCCCTGTGATATACCCGCGGCTCTCCTCTTCTCCGCCTCTCCTTCTTCCCCAACGTCCAATGGAGGCCTCCTACTATCTTACGCCTTATGCTCCTCCTCCTCTTGAAAGAATTTTCCCTAACATTCAAGCTGTATGCGACTTCGAATTCCCTGTTTGAGGTGGGGATTAGTCTTCTTAACTCTGCGACGGAAGTATTATTCTTGCGTATACACCGTGTTCGACGCTTGGGTTGAAGACGAAAGCCACCGTGGAAGGTACTTGGAGAGAGGTCGTCTCCGATCCATCAGCAGCAATCTCAACGACCGACAAATTCAAAGCACACGTGGAGCCTTGACGGTGTCACCTACGACAATCCATCCCCACGGCTACTTCCCTCGACGAAGTTCTTCGGCGCCCTTTGCTTAAGTGTTAACCTTCCCTCATCTGCTTGTGAATCTTCTGATCTGCCGCACAAGCATCCACAATCTTGTGTGATACTGGCCCCAGGTGAAATTCTCGTTGTTTAATACGTATTGCGTACTTTGTTACTACTTCGCATTTTATTCCCTGGATTTTCGATCATGAACAATTTGGTTAATTTCAAGTGCATCTCTTTGGCCTAAGCAATAGTCAACATTTTCGAACTTCTATAACTCTAATTTTATGTGCTAGTTTTAAATTCGTAAGAAACAATACTTTAATCGTTTCTTTTAAATTTTTAAACAAACTCCTCGTAGTTTCACATCATTTGCTATATCAGACACAAAAGCCTTTCTGAGATGGTAAAATTTAATTTGCAAATATTCATACCGAAAACTGAATTGGCAAACATAAAATCAGTCTTATATTTTTGGTTTCATTCATTAATGCACACCACAAGATGGGGTTGGGGTTGGTGGTGGTGCCACCTTTCCCATTCCTTCTCGCTACATTTCTTTCAGTCTCCACCACCAACAAAGAATGTGTAGGGTTTGGGGGCTAGGGAGGTTGCTGATGATCTCGGTTGGTAAGGAATGTTATAACAATGAATAATTTTAAAGTTGTTAGAATTTAAAAAAAGGCAGAGTAGTTGTATTTAGTGTGTTGTATTTGTTTTTTTTTTTTTTTCAATTCTTTTTAGTTGGCGTTATGTGATACTTGAGGGTCTTCCTTGTATAAATCTTCTTTTTTATGTTAAACAAAATAATATATACTTGTAATGTTTGTGCTATATTTTCATTCATAATTAATGTGACGCATCACATGTGCCATTTTAATGGGGAAAAAAACTAGACATCACTGGCCTAAAAGGGACCTATTTGAAGATCTGAAGTTAAGGTATTGTTTGTAAAGTCAGCAAGTTTCTTTCGGGGCTAGATGAGGGAATTTAGAAGTTATTGAACCTAAGTGAAGCTCTTCCTTGATCTGAGACTCTGAGTGATCCAGATATCGTTTGCCTTTATTTTTTTGTAATACTTTTGGTGTTTGTTGATTGGATAGGAAAGATGGTTTAAAAATAGTTAGAAATATGGTATGCTGCAGAGATGTGTACTTTGAAAAGTGGCTTGCATATCTTTGAAACATCATTTGTACTCCAAAATACGTTGTGAAGGTCAGGTTTTGTTTACCTGTGCATAGAATTTTGATTAAATTTTATGTCGAGTGTGATATTTTTTAGCACTTATCTGCTCAATAACAATGGTTGACTAATATACATACAGACCGTGGTTATTACTCCGTGGAGACTGTAACACTGCTGGTGGCCTTGAAAGTCCGTTATAGAGATAGAATCACAATTCTTAGAGGAAATCATGAGAGCCGGCAAATAACTCAAGTGTAAGATGTTTTCCCTTTTGCTCATTTAGTTTAGTCATCGAATGGGTCTTTTTAACTAGACTGAGTTTTATTGATATGACATTGCTGAAGTATTTTTTTTTACTTGGACTACATATGGCAACAAATTGCCTGGAATGATAACTTTAAGTTGTTTATTTCCGTTGTCAACATTGCATTAGTCTTTACTCAGTCATTATTTTTCGACAGTTTGCAGATTACATCATTAGTTCCATGTTGTTGCTCGTTTCTTTCACAAGCTACAATTATTTATTCGATATGTGTAAAATATACCTTTGCATTTATAGGCTATTATGAGTTTTTTTTTTTTTTTTTTCAGATACTCATCCATAGTATACCCTTTTCTCTTTATAATTTTTTTTATACTGGCAACTTGAATGTCATATAACATAATAATATAGTATTTTGTTACTTTTCTTGATTATAGAAGCTTGATCAGTTAGATGTTGTTTAATTCAGAGCTTGTAAATGGATTATGCAGCTGAAGACTAGACAATTTTAATGTTAATTATATAGTTCTTTAGTAGCCTATGACAATCATTTTGGAAGGGATTTTATCTTCCATGGAGCGGGCCTAAGGCCCAACATTTTTTTCGTTGGTATTTTTAATATTTAATAAATAGATAAACATGGTAAAAATAAAAATAAAATTGAAGTATTATGCAGCAAAATTGCATAAAATAGGGAATCGGTTCTCTGTGGAAAATAAAACACATAAACAAATATAAAATGCAAATGAAGATTTTTAAACATCATTTTACACAAGACGTCTAAACTCTGCAATACAATTAATATAAACATAAAAATTAAAAGAAATTAGATGCCAAAATAAAGCAAGCATGACAATTAATCATTCACTCACTCCTCAAGCTCCTGCTTCTTCTAGTCTTCTTCTCATTTAAGGTATCCAAATCAGATATGGTGTTGGTTGAAGTATTGCAAACTCAGCTTCATGAACAAACTCCATGTCATCCGGTCATCATTCTTATTATAGAAATTAGAACATTTACAACTTGTCGGCTTTAATTCGTTACACATGTTTAAAACAAGAGTATGATAGAAAATAATCAATTTTCAAACAAAATTTGACTTATTCGACGTTGTCTTGCTCTTCTTCCCATGGAAATTTATAACTTGTTTGATTGTTGTTCAATTTGTAATTGATTTTCCATCATAATCAATTTGCTATACTTGAAACTGTCTCACTAGAAATTAATTAAATTCAATTAGAAATAGACTTGATGTATACATAAATATGCATGTATTTGTCTTCACACACACATGTGTGTGCCTTTCTCTTTATATACGCACACATGCATAATTTTTATGTATATAACTTTGTAAAATATATTAATTACAGATGGGTATATAAATACAATCAAATTTATGATTCAAGGAATAATTTTTCAAGAGAAAATTTAGAGATTTTGCTTGAGTTAGCCAAACTCAAAATCAATCATCTTTTACTCAACCAGAACCTAAATCGAAATTTACAATTTCAACTGAAGGCAGACTTCAGCGAACTTGAATCAATATCACCCATAGTTGTATCTCACACAAACAAGCCATTCAAAAATTCAAACTATTGTGTTGAAGCAGCTCACTTTATCTTCTTGGTGTGATTTTCTCATTTATAAAATGATAGAAAACTGAGCTACTAATGCTTTATAATATTAAATTCTTATTGGGGTTCTAAATAGCTTAAAAATTTCTTTCAAGTTTGATAAGTGCAAGTGATCCTAACGATTCAGACAATATATTTGGTCAAATCAGGTATTCAATGCCAAATTGCAACCGATCAACAAAATTCTGAACTTCCTAGATTCATGGAAATCTTATGATACGTCACATCAATATGGCTTTCAAAAATAAGTTCATGTTCCCTTTTTATACCATAGTGATATTTGTTGTATTCTTTTAAATGAGCGGACTAAGGTTGTAATTTTAATTTATATTTGTAATATTTGCACTTTGGAAGTGTATTAGGGAAAAGGATATTAATGCATTAGAGGTTAATTAGGATGGCATGAAATGTGAACTTGCATGGGCCATGCAAGGGTCAACTATGCAAAGAATTGTCAAGGCGGATGAACAATACACGAGGAGGAGCAAGGAAAGGATGGGTCCAACTGAATGGTCATATGCATCATTATCATGCTAAGGGATGCCAAGGGCTACAATTTATTTACTAAAAATTATGGTCTACCAAAAGTGCCACCACTCAACACTCCACCTTTGCAAGGGCGCCACCAGCCTATTTGGTTGCAACTGTCGACAAACCACCTTCCCATCACTTGGATTGTTGTTTTTCATATTATATGATGTTTAAGATGTTTTAAATTTGATGTAAGAAAGATGTTTTTTGCTGAAATAAAACTTGGAGAATTGTTTCTTGTTGTTATTCTTGCTTGGTGGCTTGAAGCTTGAGGTTGGAAGTTGGTAGCTGAAAACCGTCCTGGCTCCTTCGGTGAGGTTTAAGGTTTTGTTTTTTTGTCTTGTGTTTCTGATGAGGACATCGTCAGCATTTTTCGACACGAGTACCATCAGGAGACGCTGGAGATCGACGACCACGATCATGAGTTTTATTTTGAGTCATTTTATGTAGTAGTTTATTTTATTTTCAGTTTTTTCCGCTTTTACCCTTATGGGTATTTGGTCGCTATTGTAGCCCAAGGGGCATTTTAGCCTTTTGTTTTCTTTGTCATTTGGAGGCCTATATATGGCCCTTTTCTTATGTAATAGTTAGTTTTGAGCTATGTTGCACCGATACACCTATTTATGAAGGCGTGCTGTATCCGATACACCGATACACGGATACACCTCCGATACTCCACCGATACGTGTCGGATACGCCAAAGCCGTATCCAATTAAAATACTATTTAATTTCAAAAGGACACGGATACGCGTGTCCGTTAAAAAACAAAAAGAAATCCGAAAAAAAGACGTGTCGTATTTACTTCCGCGGTTGCGAGCAAGATTCTCTCATTTCCGAGATGGATTTGAGTCTCTTGATGATATGAAAATATTAAAAATTATTAATCTTTCACTTGATGAGCCTGAATTAGAAGCTATGATATTTATTGAAGATGATATGGAAGTTCAAAGACAAACCAATGAAGAAGATAATTATATCATTCCTTCTATTGAATAGTTGAAACTTCATGTGCTAGAGAATTTATGTTTATGCTTTTGTTGTTGTACTAGACATTTAATACTTATATTTTGATATTATAAGCTACAATGCTACAAATGATGTTGTTGCCATTTTTTTGTAATTTCAAATATTATATTTTGATTGCTTTCTTAATTTTTATGTATGATTTATAAATTATATTGCCGTGTCCGCGCCGTACCCATATCCTGTATTTTTAAGAATTGACGTGTCCCGTATCCGTATCGTATCGTATCCGTGTCGCCGTATCCGTATCGGTGCAACATTGGTTTTGAGGAATGAAAATATTTGCTTTGTGTTCTCTTTGTGAGTGCAAACCTCCACGATCTCTTAGTGAGTTCGTAGGAGAAGCTAGATCTCTTTGTGAGTTCTAGGTTTTTCTCGTTCTACTATTTTCCTTTATTTCTCTTGGTCAAATCATCATCGTGGAGATTCGGATTGAAGTACTTGTGGAAAATTGGAATTCACTCCTTGGATCCTTTTATTTTCCATACTTCTTCCTCTCTTTGGATCCTTGTCGTCTCCCCTTTTCCCTAGCCAAACCGCCGGCCAGCCTCCCGCCGACCAACCCAGCACCCCATCCCGCCGGCCTGCAGGAGCCCTCTCGCCGGCCAATCCTCCATCCGGCCACCCGCCGGCCATCACCAGCCCTTCTTCCGCCAACCACCCTGGATCCATACCGCCGGCCCCCATTTGGTTTCCCTTTGCTAGTTTGAATTTCATCCTTTAATGGCTTTCCTAATTAATTCACTTAAATTGGGGAATTAATTAAGGGAGTTACAATTTTTTTTTTTTGAAATTCAAATTCCCTCCTAATTTTCTTTCAAGAAAGGAGTTACATGACTTATTTAAAATCTGAAATCTAAATTTCAGATTTTGATTAATTAATTGTGGTCCCCACCTATTTAATTCCAAGCCCCTCTCTCTCTCCCATATGGCTGGCCACTTTCTCCTATTGTTTCTCTCTCTACTTGCCACCTCATCACCACTTAAACACCTCTTTAATACCCCTCCTCAAGTTTAATTTCAGTTTTCCATGATTTTAATTTCAAATGTCAAAATCTGAAATTTGAAATCAATTCCTCCCCCTTACTGGCCCCCCTCTCTCTCCTAATCACCTTAATAGCTCCACAAATCCAGCCCAAATCTTCTCCCCATCGCCGCCCCTCTCTCCCTCCTTGGATTAATTTGAAATTCAAATTAAATCCCTCTCCTAAACGACTAAAATCTGAATTTTATTTCAGATTTCCTGCATTTGCCTCTTAGCCCCCACCATAGCCGTCAAGGAAGTTTCGATAAGACGTTGGATGCTCACTAGTCATCCCATGAACTACCCGCCTCCGGCTACCGCTCCAACGGACTACGCTTTTGTGCGCCATTTGTCTCCTAGTGGCATCGCTCGGTTGCTCTCAAACTTCCCCCATTAAAAGTGCCACCAACAAGAGAGTGAGTGAGAGACCCAAGGTGAAAAGTTCTATTTGTTAATTGTGGATTATTGTTTCTCCCCATAGCATTACTCTCTAATTCTATGTTGTCAATTTGATATTGTCCCGTTAATCTAGTTATAACCGTATGCCTTACTTAATTTCAACTTGATAATTCTGAAAACCTAACTTGGATAAGCATTAATTCTATAACTAGCAAAGCTTTAAAATCTTATATTAAATCCCCAAGCAGTTCTTGTTTCCATGCATCACGTTTCACATCAGTTTCTGTATAATTTTTTATTCTTAACCACCTTCAACAACCATATAATAATCACCATACATTTCCACTTTAGCCTTCACATTTCTCAGGCATTTTCTTAAACTAATTTAGCCTACCCATCTTGCACAAGCCTT